ACTTTTTTATCACCTTTTTATTTTAATTATTATTTTTTACTTTTTTTTTCTTAATTTTAATTTTATCATTTTTTATCAATTTAATTTTTTTCAATTTTAACTTCTTTTTTATTTTTTACTTAACTTTATTGCTATCACACAGGAACTAACAAGTGCCTGTGTGTTAGCATTTGGAGGTGACAGGTTCTCTTTATTGAACCTGTCACCAATACAGGAATTCTAGCACAGCACAGTGCTGGAAGTCCTGTGACAGCTGAGATGGGAAGGCTGTGAGTGCAGCTCTCCCTTCTCACTGTTCACATAGAGCAGTCCGTTCTCCGCTCTGCTCCCCCCTCTCCATCATGAAGAGAGGATCTCCGGCCGACGGGGAGAGAGGTAGTCGGTGGGGGGAGGACGGACTTGCAGGCTGCATACAAGTGATCTCGGTGACATCCTTGGCCTTGTGGAAAATCAGGCCCTGCCCAGTGGTTACTTACCATACCCTATGCACCTTCTCATACTCCTTATGAATCCAGTCTATGTCTTCATCTGGATGTCCACCTTTCCCATTGTTGCATTGTTTGAAAAGGTTGTTAAAGGAGAACTATGGGGTTAGGGCTTTTCCCCATAGTTCTCCTTAGGGTAACGGGAGGACACAAACTAGCGTCCTCCCGTCACCCTAAGCTCAGTATACCGCGAGCTACAGCTCGCGGTATACTGAGACGCCAAAGTATGCCGCAAGCTACTGCTCGCGGTATACTGAGACGCCGCAGCTGAAGCGGATCCCGACAATTATGTCTGGATCCGCCCAGCTGTGTGAGTGACAGCTGGCTCTGCCTATCTAGAGGCAGAGCCAGCTGTACCCGCCCCCTCCCTTGTCTGTTCCGCCAGTCAGCGCTGGCGGATCGGAGCGGGGAATCCAGCCACTCCCCTGTCACGGCAGAGAGCTGTGACAGGATCGAGAGGTGAGCGAACGCAGGTATGTGTTCGGTCACTTCCCGATCTACTGAGCCGACCTGTGACAGTCTCATTGTCACAGGTCGGCTAGAATTATGAGGTGAGTGAAAAGCACTCACCTCACAGTTCTCCTTTAATCCTTACTATGTTCTTTTTATACTCTGCAACACACAGCTGTAGTAAATGATGTTTATGTATATTTCTGTACAAAACTACAAAATAAAGTGAATATAAAGTTAAAATAAAGAGCCATGTGGATCATTTCTTTATGCCCCTGGGCCAACCAGAACTGCTGGTTAATAGCAAAAACACACTTTATATTATATTATATTATATTATATTATAGAGCATTTCATTCTAAACTACATACAGCTGTTTCAAGTTTGTGGTCATCGTCAGTGCAGTACATGGAAACCACATATTTTGTGGAGTAGGGTTTGGGGGACAAGCAACAAAAAAGTATGATTGCCATACAGTGCTCTGATGATAACCAATCTTATGTGAAAGTGAAGTGAAACAAACAGATAAATTCAGTTTTAGGGATAGTTCCCACCATCCTCAGTGCGTTCTGGCCAGATTGCGATCAGCTTCACAGGAACACGTGGCACATCATTGCCTGGGATCCGGTCAGTGCAGTCAGAAAAAGTAGTGCATGCACTATTTCTTTTGACTGCACTGGACTGGAACGCAGGCACTGATAGGCCACACGTTCCCATGCGGCCAATCGCATTGCGGCCGGAGGGCGTGGCTGCGGTGCCATTGAGTTCAATGCACCGCCACGCCCCCTCCCTCACCAAAACAAAGTGAGCCGGCTGCAATCCGATCCAGTGCGTTCTAGCCACAATGGGTCCGTAAAGCACTGAGGATGGTGTGAACTAGCCCTCAAACAGACTTTACAGTGCTTTAAAAAATCAGTTCCATCATGTCACTTACACCTTAGGCAGAGCTGACATGGCTACCCCCACCTTTATAAAACAATGCGGTGCAGCATTTCTTTATCCCAGAATGTACCCCTTGCCTTATAAAACAATGTGGTGCAGCATTTCTTTATCCCAGAATGTACCCTTGCACTTATAAAACAATGTGGTGCAGCATTTCTTTATCCTAGAATATACCCCGCACTTATAAAACAATGTGGTGCCACTTTACTTTATCCCAGAATGAACCCTCGCCTATAATAAAATAAATGCAGATTCAGGTACATAGCTCTCCTGGCATTACATATATTTAGACTTCTGTGGGGTTTTTACCCCCTGGATTTCTCCTTTAAGCAGTCAATCCCATATCCTCACCAACTCCATCAAATACTCTATTGAACTGGTATATGTGCCACTTTTAAAGCACAGTAATATCTAATATTTACCATGGACCTCCCTGCCTGCAGAAGAAACATATTTTATGCCTGCATGCTAATCTGTAACTCCCACCAGAACCCCCCCTCTACCCTTCAACATGTCAGATGTCTTTTGGGTACCATTGCAGAGACTGCTCGGTTGCTATGACTGATCACCATGGCAACAAGCATCACCTAATTCACTGCACACTCACACACACACGCACAGAGAGAGAGAGAGAGAGAGAGAGAGAGAGAAAGAGAGAGACGTGGCTCACAAATGCTGGTCTACTAGCAGATTGGAGCAGCCATTTCTGATACCCAGAAGACAAAAGAAAAAGAGTGGACACAGGTATTGTGCATGCTGCCAGATTCTCTGAACCACAAGCTGTCATTTATGGCACAGGTCACTGTCGCCTGTGCCGGGCTGCGCCAGCCATTGCTCTGAAAATACTGCATGCTTCTGTGGGGGACAGACACCGTGGAATAATGCATCTGTACGCAAGTCCCTTTCAGCCTCAATTGCTCCAATTAAAAGGAACGCAGAGCTTATATTGGGGCAATTAGCCACATAAGTGGTGGATATTTAATAATGCAAGAGCAAGGAGCATGCGTTTGTGGTGGGCAACAGCAACCCATCACAAATCAGCTTCTATCCGCCTGCGTTAAAAATAAAACCTGTGTCGGATTAGCACTCATTGCTACTAAACGCAATTGCTCTTTCTCTGTTAAATAATCCCCTCCTGTTCTACAGGCTCTAATAATACAAAGTAGCCCTCTATTGGGGCATGAGCCTATTTATTATGCATGTGTTGCTTGTATGGGATTTCAAAAGGGAAGGGGGGAGGGTGGGAAGAGGTTCGGCAGGCCTTGCCAGAAATTAAGTGGTTAATGAGCGATCTGCATTGACTGACTGGCTATGAGCAGCACTGACACTGCAGATAGAAGGTCCGCCGTTCTGCTGCATTGGAAACTGTACGGCATGCACTTTATAAGCTGGGATGGATTGCGCTTCATGCTGTACGGGTAACATTTCACATCGTTCAAAAGTAACAATTTTAATTAAAGCAACTTTTCAGCGTCAATATTTTAGGTGTGCTATATTCTAATATCATTATATTGAAATCTTTCTTCCCATGTCTGACCTGCCCATGCAATGTCCTATGTTGTAACATAATAATGCACTCGGGGCATTGTAAATTGTGCTGTCATGGGTGCATGTGAGAAATATGGGGGCTACTATTGCTGACCTTCTTGTTGCCTGGCTGTTATACTGTCCTGGACAGGTCAGAGAAATGTAAAAAGACCTATCTGCACCCTTGCTCCTCATCAGAGACTCCAAGTACTGAAGACAGAGGCTCAGCATGACGACCAGGCAACTAGCCTTTTCAGAAGGGTTGAACAATGGTAGCTTCGTTATAACAGGGGCTGTGATTACTGATCACATTCTGAAAATGTTTTTTGCTTGGCTATCTCTAGTTTCAGTGTTCTCAGAACAAGAAAGTAGTATCTGAAGTAAGCAGAAGAACTCCAGATTGCACACAAACTTGTTTTGGGTCAGTAAAAGCCCTCCTTACCATCTTGTCTTGAATTGTATTGTAATTGTAATGTCTTCCTTATATTGTAAAGCCCTGCGCAAACTGTATATATAAATCCTGTATAATAATAATAATAATAATAATTAAGAACTAAAGCCAAATGGCAGGATGACAGCCAGGAAGAAGTATACAGCAGTTGCTGCCTTCGGATTTGTCCCATGTTTCCCTTTCATACCCGATCCATACGTTTTTATCACCATTAATGTTAAATGATTAATAGCAGGGAAATGAAAGGTACCTTCCAATGAGAACTAAGAATAGAGATTGGGACTGCAAAGATAATATTATATTGTAGTGTGTGTGTGTGTGTGTGTGTGTATGTATATTAGCCATTTTGTTTTTAACCAATATATTGTGTATTAAAACCTTGTTAAAAAAATGGCCAACAAGGTTAAAAACCGTGTTGGCCATTTTTGGTGTTTACTTCTTCACTGTTTGAATAAGTAAACAAGACTTGCCATACCTGACGGTGGCTGTTGTGCTGTTGGCATTGGCACAGAATGATGTTATAGTGCTAATGTTATTCCTGGCACCCTCCAGTGCCAGCCAGCCTCCTATCTGCTCTCTTGTGCCCCCCATGGCCCTCACCACTATTATTCCTGGGTGTTAGTTCTTGTTTGCACAGCTCCCCTCAGCTGCCACAATTTCTTCAACAGCCAACAGCAGCCCTCCTGCCATTGTATCCCTTGTATTCCTTCATACTAGTGCTGAAGCCCTGCCTGAAGTAGGCTTACAGGTAAAATGGTGTTGGGAGAACCCAAAGGTCAGATTCAGGACCGTAGCTAGCTCCTTTTGTGCCCGAGGCAAGAACGGAAAATTGTGCCCCCCAACAGACGTTTGCTATATGTGACGTCATGCGCCCCCCTCCAGAATTGCGGTGTGCATGCACAAAATGCGCTGGTGGCCAAATCCAAAATAGCATAAAAATTGAATAATGAAAACATTTTTAGTTACTATTCATTTCAGTCAGATTAAAGTAGAAGGAAAGTCGAAGTCATAAATCAACATTAACATTTTCCCTCTTCTTTTCTTCCCATGGTCTTGCTTACATTTTATAACAAATCACAACTTAAATTCCCTTTTTTCAATGTTTTTCTACACAGTCACATGACCACAAAGTTCCACCTTTATCTTCTTTCTTTCTGGGAGGTTCGTGCGGCTGGTTGGTGTGAACTCTCTGCCCCGTATTTGGCGATTCACACTTACACCAACAAATCGGAGCCTTGCCGTCCCAGGATCACATTAATACTAGTTAAAAAAAAAAAAAGATATTTCCAATGTGATTTCTTTTAAAATGCAGGGCCATGGGGTGATGAGGGAAAGGGACCATTTAAAAGTTGGTTTATTACATGTGCATATGCGCATAAAATAATGGCAGTAAGCTCTTTTCTGAACGCAGGTTTAGGACATTTTATTTTGATGTTCCTGAACGTTGCTCTGAAATACACATCTAAACACCACAATGTGCATGGATGGACACGTTGACTAAAACAGAGCTGTGTCCAGGGGCATTTTGTCGTTTTGATTGCATGAGGCCTTACAGAGAGTCTTGTGAATACTCACATTAGCCTTGCACTCCTCCCACTTGAGTCTGTTGCTGAATTTACCTACAACTACCCAGAGGCGGCCAGATGAGGGAGACGTCAATGAAAAACACAAATTGTAGGCATTGTGCTTTATACCTTGCCTTGCCGCCCTAAATACTGGCCTAGGGATACGTTATAATTCATTTGGCTTTGTATATACAATCCAAGTTTTGCTAGTAGTACTCCTAGTATACAGTAATACAAGGAATAAGCACTAGAACAAAAACTTTTGTGGTAAATGCAAATATTTTCCAGTAGGATTTGTTTATAATCTGTTTGAGATGGTACTTAGCAGGAATATTGTTCAGGTTCAGATGTGAGTCCTGTAAGGGTTAAGAACTTTGTTTTTGCCTGGGGTCAAAAATGTAAAAAAAAATGATACTCACCCAATCCTCTTAGACCGGTCCCTGGAGCCTCTCTCCCCCTTCACTTCAGCTGTCTAAGTTCCCTGAGTCATCACTTTCTCTACACATTGTATTGGATATGAGGACGTTGAGGGACATACCATCACTGCAGAGGGGAGGAAACAGACAAGGAGTGAGCCCTGTCACAGCCAGCCAGTTCCCTAGGCAAAAACAAGCACTTAACCCTTGCATTGCAGGGGTAGCCCCACTGCAAGGCTTAATAAAATATTTACCAGGAGTTCTTCATATTATTTTTGATATGACTTTCAAATTTTTATGTGCTTGCTTCTCTATATATATATTTGTTTTGTTTTAAATATAGGCCAGCAAAAGTGTGCCCATTCATAGTTGAATCGGAAAGTATGTATGGGTCGGTGTAGTGGCAGTGAGTGAGGGAGTGCATGTTGGTTCCGAGGTGACAAGTGAGGAAGTGCATGTCAGTGCCATATCAGTACAGGGGGGTACAGCGGAAAAGTATGCAGATGCGGAGGGGAAGGGGTTCAAAACAGGGTACCAGTCAGTGACAATACCAAGGGCCCCAGGTACAATAGCCATACACAGGCAACTCCAGGCAGTTAGACTCATTTTTAGCATACCTTGGGTGGGTAACACTTTTTTTTTGAAGTGTGTACAGGGAGTTTAGTTGTTCCCCCTTCTTGCACCTCGCAAATTCCCTATTTTCCCCCTTCCTATTAACTTCCGCGGCACTACTGCGCAAGTGTGGGACAGTCAACACCATTTTGTGGAACAATGGGTGGCGTAAGCCGTGGATGTGCGGAATATTGCAGCCATTTTAGGGGAGCCATGTAATAGTTAGGTTAGGGGTATGGGGGGCTCAGGAATGGGGTATGGGCGGCTCAGGAAGGGGGTATGGGCGGCTCAGGAATGGGTGCATTTGGGAAATATGTATGAAGTATTGTCTCCGACCAGCCGCCATTACTACGCAGATGGTATGTGCAGCAGAACTGATCTGCCCTGGAACAGCTGTTCGGTTCTGAAATGTCACTTCTATCCGACTTTGTGAGTGGGGTGGAATGTGAGATTACAGTCACAGAGTCGGATAGAAGTGACATTTCAGGACGGAACAGCTGTTCCAAGACACATCAGTTCTCCTGCACATACGATTTGCGATGCCGATCTGCCCTGGAACAGCTGAGAAAGCGTTGGAATGCTTGACCTATTGGTGGTCACACATTCCACCGCCAAAAAACTGGGCGGGATTACATTGAAATGTGTGACCACGTCACCGGTCACACTATTGTAACATAGTCACAGACTTTGATAGAACACCGCCATCAGGGGGGGTACGGCCGGTACCCATGTGAGGGGTCTTGGCAGCCTAGGGGGGCCTTTTACAAGAGTATCAGCTGTACCAGGGGTGGCATGGCAGAGGTGACAGGGGAGGAGGTGGAGGAGGCCAGGCCCCAGCAGCAGCAGGTAAGAGGAGTTGGGAGGAGGTACAGGGAAAGGGACCCCGGCAACCAGCCCACCTGAGGCCCTGCAGACCCCACCATAGAGAGTCTCAGATGGGCTGTGCAGGATCTATGGTGTGCTCTGCAGGGTCACTCTCAGGTGGGCTCTGCGAGGGTCTCAGGTAAGTCCAGAGTCAAGGGCCTTAGTAAGCCCAGAGTCCAGTGCGTTACTAAGCCCTTAGTCCAGTGCGTTACTAAGCCCTGAGTCCAGTGCATTACTAAGCCCACAACTCAACTTGACTTTGTCTGTCATCCTGCCAAATATTTATATGTAGACATTTCTTCATCTACCAGCTGGTATCCCAGACATCTAACAGCGAGCCATGACCAATGACCTTACAAACTACAGTAATGAAAACTATGAATGGAGGTCAGGAAGCCATTTTGTTATTAATCACATCCATAGAGGAGAACGCAGCTGTGCTTTGTTCTCTTGCTGGCAGTGTTTAACAAGATAAATTGTTGTTTTCTTTGCAGTGGGACGACAAACAGGGGTAATATACAATGTATTATAGAAGCACGACATCCTGCATTTACTCCTTGTTTCTGCTGATGATAACCATGGGGCTGCCCTTCATGAAGCTCGTCTTAGCGGAGGAACTGCATGGGACCACAATACCGCCAGAAAGTATGTCACACTATTACTGGAATGCTAAGTACAAGCAGGGAGACTTCAGGCTGCGCACCATGGGAGGTGTATTTAAATAAGCCTCTTCAAAAAGAAAAATGGCTTCCAGGTCACTTTTACATGGCTGGAATGTCATAGAAAACTGAACCTTTCATGGTTGTGGGAGATTTTTTGTTGATTTTTAAGTTTAGCTGCCACTGTAGTTTTCAGGAAGTTCATGAGTGGCAGCTGGATTCTGCGGCATTCATATCAAGGGATTGCTAGACAGGAAGTCAGGTATTGCCTGGGAAACAACAATAATACCTTTAAAGGATAAGTGCACTTTAAAACAAAGGGCACTGTTTTGTTTACGCCCCCTACCCCTGACCTAAATAATCACACCCTCCCGCTTCACAGATCCGTACTTACTGAGATCCCACTGGCATGGTTTCACTATTGTTTACAATCAGTAATCGTAATACTACCTTAGATGCCCACACCTGCACATTATAGCCCCATAAACTTCTATGGGACTTTCTCCCAGCTGGGAGAGGGAGATTTGCAGCAGGGGTGTCTCTAGTCTTTTTGCCAGCTGAGGTGGGTGCTGGATTTTACACAATCAGTGGGAGGTGGTGGTGGAGAGTGATGCCGCTAAGAGCCCGGTGGGGCGATGTGTAAGGGCTCTGCATCTCCCTGCCCAGCTCTTAGCAATCTGGGACTCTCTGGCCCGCACCCCGCTGAGCTCCTTGCAACTAGCAACATTAATGGTTGACAGGAGCTCAGCAAGGACGCCGGCAAGAGTGTCCAGCTTGCTAAGAGCTGTGCAGGGAGATATGTATGGTTCTTACACATCTCTCCACCCGGCTGTTAGCTACCTGGCCGTAAAGGGGGCGCAAGGCACATTGCAAACATTGTGAAGCAGATCGCCCATGCCGCTCTGCCTGCTGCCCCCCCATGTGACCCAAAATTATAGGGACGGCCCTGACTTGCAGTGCTGAATGTAAACAAACAGTGGAGCAGAGGCCCTCCAATCTCAGTAAGTACGGTATATACCTGTGGAGAACAAGAGTGGAATTGTTTAGGTGTAAAAATGCACTTATTCTGCAAAGTGTACCAGTGAGTATAACAAACATATAGGGAAAATTGAATGGTTTGGGGTCATTTTATATAACTTTAAAAGTTTTTAAACTGTGGTCGTGTGTTAGTTTTTAATATGTATAACAAACTTTTATTGCACAAATAAACATTTAATACATGGTGCACCCATGATCCCGATGTCACAGGGAAAAATGAGTTTTCTAAACATAGAGCACAGCAAGAGCTGTTTACCTTCAGTCTCTCTCTCCCTTTGTCACTGATTAAAATAGTATGGGACTGCCTGAACAGAACAGGCAGGGAGGAGGAGGTATGGGAAGACATCACTGATCTGATCTATTTACTTATCTGTGTAAATTTCACTATATAGTAACTCTGATGCTGTTTTAAAAGACAAGTACACACAACCTGGAGTGAAAGAATGTTTATCCTCAATCTTTCTGCCACCCATCCTTCTGATCTTCACTGTCTTGTGACGCTACAGCCTTCAGTATAATCTTACAGGTTTGTCAGAGGCCGATGTTCCTCCCTGGACACCATGTCCTGTAGTTATACAGGAGTTGGTGAGAACAATCACAGCATGCAGCAGGGGATTCAGACATCAGCCTTTCCCAGACATATTGGAGGCTGTAACTGTGCAAAAGAGCGAAAATCAGAGGAATAGGCAATGGAAAAATTGATTGTAAACGCTCTTCTATTGCGGTTTGTGCACATTCTGACAAAAGGAAGGATTTATATAGAGTGGGAAAAGGTTAGACGCTCTCTCAACTTTATGTTGTTATATTTGTATCCATGGGGGTGGGGGGTTTCTTCTCACATTCAAGGTGATGGGTGTAAGACAGAAAAAGAAGTAAGAAGGTAACCTAGTAGAAGTATTAACCCTTCCCTGTTTCATACAGGACTAAGAGAATGTTTTGGCTGGAGTACGACTTTCAGCTATTGAGCAAACATGGAAGTAGAAGGTTAGAGCTCCACCTGTAGGCTGAAAAATAGATATTTCCTGTTTACCTGTAGATTTGCAGTCCATGCTTTTTTTTTTTTAGCTTTGGTTAGAGTAAGGCAGGGTTATAACCACTGTCTGCTTTTTGTGCCATCTGTGTCCAAAAAAGGGGAGATTTCCTATCACTCCCTGTCCTATAGCCACAACAGGAAATGAGAGGAAATCCCTCCAAAACAAGCGAAAACTCTGGAGGTCAACAGGGTCACCTGAACTAATGTCCCCATTGGATGGCTTCCTATCTGTTCCTGTTTAGTGATAATGGTCATCAGGATGAATCTCCTTAAGGGGGACACAGACTGCAATAAAAACCTGACAGGTGTTATGATCCCTCTCCACTCTATCCAAACTTAAAAAAAAGTTTTGACTTCAGTTTAAGAAAAAAGTTCTTAACATAATAAATCTAGAAAAATATTTTAAAACACTATATACTAAAACATTCTAGATTCCCTTTAGCTAGTAGCAGTTAGTCACATTCTACTGGACTTGTTCTGTAACGTTGAAGGAGGTTTCAATACTTAAGTAGATTCCTCAGCTCAGATGAATTTTCTAGAACATATCTCACTATGAATAGTCCAACTAGTAAATCAGTCAACTTAATCTACATATAAGGAAATGCATCAAGGTGTTGATTGTTCAAGAACATGATAGGCGGTGTTAAAGTTTGTTTTTGTTACATAACCCAATCAACATGATAGTATTGAATCTGGAACAGGTGTTAATTGTTTACGTTTCATGGTTTGAGCTACATGGTGTGAATTGTTGTCAAATGAACATAGTAGCAGTCACTCGTAGTGAAGACCCGTAGTGAGGAGCAGATGACACCCCACCGTGACGTCATCACGCATGTGCGTGACATCACCACGCACGTGCGCGATTACGGCATCGCGCATTCACGGCCATCTAATTGACGCCTGCCGGCTGCCAATGGACACCGGCACAGAGAGGAGGGGACGTTCACCTGGCGGGATGAGGTATGCTGCTGGGTCCCCTCCTCTCTCCTGACACTGTCAGGCTCTCGGTCCATGACAGAGTGCCCGACTTTTTAGAGGGGTTACAGTCACACAGGGATGACTGTCAGTCAGTTTGGTGTCACCCCTCCAATGGTGTCACCCGGGTGCGGGCCGCACCCCCCTTGTGATGCCACTGCATAGTAGAGATGTTGAAGGCCCCCGCTGCTGGTTAGGTAAGGTTGTTCCAGATGTTGGTTATGTAGTTCTCCACGGGAGACACAGATAAGAAATGTTTTCTATGTGCCTTGCTCACACCACAAAAGAATGAAATGTGACGTTTGTATTTTTCCGCACTGCACCAGAGCCCACCTGAAATCTTCATCCATCACCGTACTGCAGCTCCATTGAGGTGCAGTACATAGACATAAATGAAATGTTACTTTGTGACATTTTATTAAGTTAACAAAAAGAAAAAAAGTTAACATTTCCTTGTGTTAAAAAAAAGCCCCTTACCACAGGCACACACAGACACACACAGACACACACAGACACAGATGGTTTTAGCGTGTGGGCTGATACAAATAAGCCCTAACAGACAAGCAAGTACAGTGGTACCTCGGTTCGCGAACAGGAAGTACAACAAAATTTTGCTTCCGTTCGTGAACTCTGCATCGGGTGACGAACACAACCACAGCCATCTTCCCTGCTCTGACACATGGTCGTGGCTTCCTCTAGTCGAGATCGCGGTCTGATCACAGTTTGATTCGGTTCGCGACCAATTCAGTTTGCGACTAGAATCGTGGAACCAGTTAAGTTTGTGAACCGAGGTACCACTGTATTGATACATAAGGGTGGCCAAATACTTTTTTGCTCCCAAGTGACCCCAGACCTCCTGGTTTCTGTGAGTCGGGGACGGGGCTTTAGTTCCTGACCACACTTCTTCTCCCCCTCTTGATGGGGTTCACTTGGCCACTGATGCAGCCAATCAGAGTCTTCCCTTTCCTCCAAGTGGTCTGTCAAAACCTTGACTACGGAGGAGACCTTCATCATGGCAGAGCAGCTGCTCAAGCACCTGTAAGCCAGCTAGGCTACATTGTCCTAGCTGCTGTGCTGCAGATGCTCTGGGGGGAGTTTGGTCCTTCATATACCCACCTTATCTATGCCCTTGTCTACCAGTCACATAGGCTGGTACAGGTACCCCTGTGCTGGTCACTAAAGCATGATGATAAATTGTGATACTGCCCGATAGGTGAATTTTTGTTTAAATGAGTCGTGTATTTGCAGGTCGCCCTTGTGTGGACTGTCATGCCTTTGAATTCATGCAGAGAGCACTGCAGGACCTCAAAAAGACAGCATACAACTTAGACTCACGGGTAGGTATTGTACAAAATACTCCTTAACAGTGGAATGCAATATATTTTTCCTTGTAACCAGAGAGGCATCTTAACAGAAAGATGCAAAATCTTTAAAATTGGTTATTAGTAGGGCTGTGCAAATTAACGATTAATTTCTCGATTAATCGTTAATCTTTTTGATCAATAAAATTTTTTTTATCGCTAATGAAAATACTCACCTCTCCGCCGGCTTCTGGGAGTCCCGTCAGAGATCCGGTGACGTCACGGACATCGACGTCACCAGACTCCTCCCCCCTTCCCCAAGTGGCTCTGTTGGCTAACGAAGGGAAGGGGGAGGAGTCCGGTGACGTTGATGCCCGTGACGTCACCGGACTCCTCCCCCCCTTCCCTTCGTTAGCCGACGGAGCCACTTGGGCCGGTGAGTTTGCCCAAGAAACTTTCTGCACGAGCGTCAGCCAAGGCATTGGCCTATACACATACAGCACAGCAATGAAGTAATAAAATGAACTAGGATCACACTAATCCAGCACGTTATTATTATGAGTTGCCACACTCAAGCGGCGGCCATATTGAGTGGGGCAACTCAGATTAATAACGTGCTGGATTACTGTGATCCTAGTTCATTTTATTACGTCATTGTTGTGCTGTATGTGTATAGGCCAATGTAGTTGGATCTGTATGTGCGTTATAATTAATCGAAATTAATCGATTACATTTTTTTTCGATTAATCGAACACGACAATTTTAATCAGTAACAGCCCTAGTTATTAGGTATACATGGCCAGAGCCTTGATGTAAATATTGTTATAAAGGCACATTTAAGGTTTTTATATACTGTATATTTATATTTTGAAAACACATGCAGCCATATTAGGTCCCTATAATGAGGTAGCCCAAGGCTGTTGCCTCAGGTGGCATCTCTTTGGGTCATGTGGGTGGAGGGATATGTTTGCTGTGTGCCTGCTGCCCCCTTTCCAGCCAGAGTGTTCCTCCCAAGTTGCTTAGATCTGGGCAGGGAGATGTTTAAGGGTCATACACCTCCTCCCTCCCAGCTCTTAGCAACCTGGGATGCTCTGGCCGGTGTCCCGGCCAACTCCTGGCAACCAGTGACATCATTAAGCTGGGCGGGAAGCTGGCCAGACCCGGAGCCAGAGCTGGGTGGTGATCAGATGATGCAGTGGCCACAACCCCTCCGTTAGTATACACTACCCCCCGCCCCCCCGCCTCAGGGGGCAAAAAGGCTAAGGACACCTCTGGGTCATAACCTATGTAGGCTTTGCTTACTTCTCAGCAGTGCTACACATTGGTTGTGCTTTTCTTACAATGCAAGTCCATGAGTTAGCTAACTCACCGAAACAAAGCACTCCCTATGTGGCTGGTATCAAATCGCAACAGTATTAAGCATAGTCATTGTGGATGCCAATTTACACTGATTTTAGTGGTTATTCTAGAAATAGAAATATGGAAGAGTGAGCTTGTAAATGTGGAAGTCACATCAGCTACCAGGTTTTTGGCCCTGCCCACTCCAGGATCACGCTTCTCACTACTAGATCCATTCATGTGATGGGCAGCTTCATTGTCCAGGAGGAGGTGAAGCTCAGACTTCCTAGTGGCTGTCAGTATTGGCATATTATTATAAGAGTGCCCCAGGTTTCAGGACGCCTGTTCTCTCTAGAAGATAACTGAGACAATGACCTTGAGGTGTCTTCTGCAGCAACCCAGAGGCAGTTTCCTATAGTGGCAATGACAACTTTGTTTTGTTATGTTTGCTAATAAGAGTCAAATGATTTTTGCTCATGAACTCCTCCCTGTTTTACCAACATCATACCCCCCAACTTTTTGAGATGAGGAGGGACATCCTCTAGCCCAAAGTATGTAGACTAAGGACACAACTCTCATGCCCCCAGTTCCGCCAACCATAAAGAATCAACATGCAAAAAGTGATTGCTTATATCTGATCTCCGGTCTTCCCTTCAGTCTAAAGCTCGCCATACACCTATAGATTTTCGATCAGAAATCTTCGTTGCTGCCAAGAACCCTGTTTCGATTCTAGCTCAAATAGCCCATCAAGCAAAGACCAATTTTGATAATCGTTCGTTAGCAATACTAACTCATTGAATTTTGCCGATCCACAGAACGGATTTTCGTTTGCACATGTGTAGTGTTCTTGTTGCAATTTTTTTTGCATACGAAAACGCCACTAATTCATCAATTTTCGTATAATTCGAAAAAAAAAATTCCAGCCTGATCGATTGAGGAAATTCGGCCAGAAGTACAGTAATTACAATTGTTGGCATCCCATCAACAGATCAATTTTCGTTTGAGAGACCATTTGTGGCCGATTTCCGAACGAAAATCGATAGGTGTATGGGCACCTTTACACAGTTGTACCGGCTCCTCTGCTGGACTGAAATTGCTTATAATAATTTCACTGCAAACCGTGACCTTCTTACAATATGCATTAGAAGCTTCAGCGGGTCTGTTTGCATTGCACAGAGAAGCATAGAGACCCAGTGAGGACATCGCTGGGTTTAAAATTCGTTTTTTTTTTCTTCAAAATTCCATTAGAATATTGATTGGGAAGGGAAGGAGGAACCAGGGAAGGCAAAGGGCTTTTCCTCTCACTACGTTTATGTATACAGGCTTGTCACTGTCATCATTTGAGTGTTTGGATAAAAGGTTTAGTGTAGAAAAAACTTTTGAAAATTAAATTGTGTATTTCCTTTATAGTGTGTTATGAATTAAACCAATAAGATGAACAAACAAAGAGTGAGGAGGTAGCATGGAGCCGGTTTCCCGGTCAATCAGGAAGCCGGGCTTCGCGTAATGACGCGTTGCCTGGCTTCCTGATTGGCCAGCTTCTCAAACCAATCAGCATGGAAACGGCTTCCCTGCTAATCTGGAAGCCGGGTGGCCAGTCTTTAAATGCTGCCCGGCTTCCCGGCTAATCAGGGAGCCAGGTGGCGAGTCATTACACGCCACCTAGCTTCCTTAATGGGACTTCCTGTATCGGTATTTGGTATTGGCGAGTACCGGAAAAAAATATATCCGTACTTGTACTCCTTACCGAAAAACCGGTATCGGTGCATCCCTATTAAAAAGGTTTGTTTTTGCCATTATTTGCACAAATCGAACATTCGCAGATATTCACAAAGGACCCTGCAGGTTGGTTATAACTAGACCCCTTCAACATTCTTCCTAAGAGCATAGAACACCAGATATCTGCGGTTACCTTCACTGCTCATGGAACTCTCCTCTTTGTTCCTCTGTGAAACTAGTTTTATTGTTGTTACAGCGTTCTAACCTGCCATAGAGATACAATAGCTGAAACCTGAAGTGAGCTACCACTGAAATACCTTTTTTCTCTGTTTATCAAACTCAATGTCATCTGCTATAACACAAGTGCTTTCTTCCTCTTTGCCCATTCAGACAGAGACGCTTCTTCTAAAAGTGGAGCGGAGGACTCTATGCGACTGCATATCCGTGGAGGGACTGAGCTGAAGATGAACAAACCGCGTCAAGGACACCCAGCTTAACCCTTCTGCTGCTGGACAGGGCTCTGCAACACATTGCTCCGCAGTGTGGGCCAGTCCCCTCTGGCAGCGCAAGTGTTAAATGCAGCTTATATCATGAATAAAGAAATACACATGACAAATCCATCCTAACACTGAACTGTGCATGTGTGCGAGGAGGAATTTGCGTGGGAGAAATTCTTAATAAAACTCATAGGATTTTTTTTATTATTATTGTATATCCTTTTATTTTTATTTTTTTTGTGGGGTGAATCACCGTTTTGATTAGAACTGCATTTGAATGAAACTCATGAATATTGTAATTTAAAAAAGCACGCTCCACCCCAAACTAAGGCGCTTGCGGGTGATTCAGTCAAAGCTGAGAAATTAATTTTTGGGTGGTGTGATCATTTAAAAGCTTTGTGATGTCCTTTTTGAATATTGAAAACCCAACCTCCACCTTTCTGGCAAATCCGTTATGGTAATACGAGGCAACGAAATAATGAGTCACATAAACAGTGTTATTTGTCTTACCACTTTATGTTTGTGCAGGCTCTTGAAGTATCCTTTCAGCGGGGAACCTGTTCAGGTTTTCCTATTTTGAACTAGAAATATAGACTAGTCTATCCACAGTAGCTTTCCATACATAACGACAAGTAATGGTAAGCAGCTCTGTCTATGGTTCACTTGTAGCCACAAGCAAAATGAGAACATTTGAAATTGGCCACAAGGGATACTTCTAAAGCCTGTCTCAGGGATCTCAGAAGCAATTTTATTAGTGATTACTGTTGTCCAAGTTTATGTTACTGCTTTACAAAATAAAATTTTACAGAAAGATGGAGTTCAGCTTTATTATACAATTGTATTTTCTTCTAAGGACTGAAATCATCTTCCAGCCCACTTGTACAGTCCAAATACTACACTGTTTGTGCTTTGCTTCTAAGTGTTCTTCACTAATACCAAGAACTTAATATATATGTTCACTAATGTTGTAGTGTAAACTAAAGGTACTGGGGATAGAAGGAACTGATAGTAGGAAAGGAAGGAGGGTAGTTGGGAAGAAAGATACTGGAGTTGGTAGAGTAACAGGGATGAAAGGAGGGTAGTGGGGAAGGAAGGAGGGCAATGGGGACAGAAAGAGGGTATGAAAGAGAGTAGTAAGAATGGTACGAGGATAGAGGGATGTATGAAACTGATAGAGGGGATAGAAGGAGATAGTGGGGATGGAAGAAGGATAGTAGGAATGGAAGAAGTGTCATAGGGATGAAAAGAGGGTAGTGGTTATGGAAGGAGGGTGGTAGGGATGGAAGGAGGGTAGTAGGAATGAATGGAAGATTGTTGGGATGGAATTAATGATAGTGGGTATAGGAGGTTAGTGGGGATAAAAGGAAAGTAGTGGAGAAGTAAGGAGGGTAGTTGGAATGGAAGGTGGATTATGGGGATGGAAGGAGGCTAGTGGAAATGGAAGGAACTGAATGTGGGGATGGAAGAAGGATAGTGGAGATGGAAAGAGGATAGTATAAAGGTAAGGAGAGCAGTGGGGATGGAAGGAGGGTGGTGGTGATGGAAGGAGGGTAGCAGGGATGGAAGGAGGGAGTGAGGATGGAAGGAGGGTTGTTTGCATGGAAGAAGGGTAGCAGGCATGGAAGGACGGTAGTGGGGATGGAAAGAAGGTAGCGGGGATGGAAGGATCATAGTGGGGATGGAAGGAAGATAGTGGGAAAGGAAGGAACGAGTGACATACAAATAAGGTGTGGTTGTAGCCTGTAAATAACAAAGATTTCCAGGTGAATATTGTACATAGTACATGCTAGAAAATCTTAATGAGAATAAGAGTAAGGCTTAGGTCACACTAGAAGGCGACTCCCCAGCAGCAGGTTAGGTAAATATACACTTACCAGGCTCTACGGTGTTGTGTTGCTCCCTCACTGGTCGAAACATTGCCAAATTTCACGTTAGAGAAGTATCAGTGGCAGTGACATCTTGTTGGTCGGGTCAATGATGTCATAGAACCAGATGAATGGTTTCTTTGCTTCCTAGCTGTCCTGTCTCTGGCAAGTAGCCCTATTGACATGATTGCCGGCCTATGTTTAGAGTCAGGGAGCACATGTGTACTGTTGTCACTGTTGGGTGAGGATCCTGGTAGGTTACTTTCCCATGCAACTCTTTCATAGAACAGACATCTCTTGAGGAGAGATTTACAAAGGCAGATGTGCACTGCTGGGACTTGCTATAATCTTCCAGATTTAGCCAACAATCAACAAGGTCAGCTGTTGTTAAAGTGATTAAAGACTGGACTGTCAGCCGAAAATCTGGGTCTGAACGTGCGAATTGTGGCCGTCAGCGACTAGTCAATGTTAGGGCAGAACGGAGAGTGGCAAGACTGGTACAAGACAACAGAAGGGCAACAGTGCCGTGTCAGATTCCTCGCATCACCTTTCAACATCTCGTGGAGTCATGAGGCGGCCCAACTAAGTCATCTCATGGAGTCATCTCGTGGCCCAACGAAGTACTGATGGGGTGGTCATAATAATCTGGCCACTCAGTGTATATTGCATCTTTACCGAATATAGAAGTCCATTTATAATGGAAAGCAGCAATCCACTCTCTACTGTACTCCACACTGCAGCCCATTCATTAAATATAGGCTGTGGCATGGTGCCTGCTGTGTTCGTAGGAATTCTCCCCAATTCATGCCACAGAGAGAACTTTATGAATGGAGGAGAGGCTGGTGACATGACTTGGATAGGATACATGACCGGATTCATCTCCCCCCTTTATTTTTTTCCCCATCATTCATTTTAATAACACTAAACACATTTGTAAAGCACACCTCTGGGCTCTATAAATGTGCTGTAAGCCCATACCACTACTTCATGAAATGAACCCCATAGTTATATTGAATAAAATCTGTGCTGATCAGTTATGAAACATTTTCCACTGTGATCTCAGTAATAGTTTAAAATACAAGAAGCATAAAACTAAAGGAAAAGAAAATGACATAAACATATATACTGTATGTATATTAACAGAACTCTATGCAGACACCCCGGAGCCATCCCTATAATAAGGCAGCTTGAGGCTGTTGCCTCAGGCGGCATCTCATTGGGTCATGTGGGGGAGGGGATGCTAGGTGTGCCTGCTGCCCCCACTTCCCACTACAAGAACCTCACTACAAAAACCTCACTGCTCCTCTACAAGAACCTCACTACCGTTCTACAAGAACCTGACTACACCTCTACAAGACCGTCACTACCCCTCTACAAGACCGTCGCTACCCTATTACAAGAACCTTACTACCCCTCTACAAGAACCTTACTACTCCACTATGAGAACCTCACAACCTCACTACGAGAACCTCAACCACACTACAAGAACCTACTACCCCACTACATGATCCTCACTACCGCTCTACAAGACCGTCACTACCCCACTACAAGAACCTTACTACCCCTCTACAAGAACCTTACTACTCCACTATGAGAACCTCACAACCTCACTACGAGAACCTCAACCACACTACAAGAACCTACTACCCCACTACATGATCCTCACTACCGCTCTACAAGACCGTCACTACCCTACTACAAAAACCTTACTACCCCTCTACAAGAACCTCACTACCCCACTACGAGAACCTCAACCACACTACAAGAACCTACTACCCCACTACATGATCCTCACTACCCCTCTACAAAAACATCACTACCCCACTACAAGAACCTACTACCGCTCTACAAGACCATGACTACCCTACTACAAGAACCTTACTACCCCTCTACAAGAACCTTACTACCCCTCTACAAGAACCTTACTACCCCTTTACAAAAACCTCACTACTCCTCTACAAGAATTTCACTACCCCTCTACAAGAATCTCACTACCCTACTACAAGAACCCCACTACCCCTCTACAAGAACCTCACTACCCTACTACAAGAATCTTACAACCCCTCTACAAGAACCTCACTACCCCACTACAAGAACCATACTACCTCACTACGAGAACCATACTACTCCACTACGAGAACCTCACTACACCATTACGGGAACCTCAATACCCCACTAAAAGAACCTACTACCCCACTACAAGAACCTCACTACCCCACTACAAGAACCATACTACCCCACTACGAGAACCATACTACTCTACTACGAGAACCTCACTACACCATTACAGGAACCTCAATACCCCACTACAAGAACCTACAATCCCACTACAAGTACCTCTCTACCCCACTACATGAACCTCACTACCCCTCTACAAGAATCTCACTACCCCACTACAGGAACCTCAATATCCTAATACAAGAACCTCAAAGTAGTTGGCTGGCTTTGAATGCTCATATGAAGTTTTGTGTAATAGCTCTCACTATGTTATTTCATGTATAAACGAAGAGTGGGGGATTTCAAAGCTGACATTTCTTATTAAAGGACTGTGTTATAGTACCTATGCAGTGAAATTCTGCTTCACCTCAGGCTATAGTATTCATGACAAATCTTTCCACTTTGCATGACAGGTGTGCTTTAAGTTCTCCATTAGTCACTCTGTATGCTGTATATGAGAAATCTATTCTGTGAATCATTTATTTTTTACATGCTGCAACTGTGCTATGTTTTTGTATGACTGGCAATGCAACAAATAAACTTAACTTGCGCTTAATGATATTCAAAAATGTTTTCTTAAATACACGATGGGTCTTAATAATAGAAGTTCCAACAGATGATCTTTCTTTGATGACTAATTGCAACCAGTCAGATTTAGGATTTATTCACAGCATTAGCAACTGATCAATGCCAGTCACTAACAGGGTTATTCACCAAAGGGTGATGAGCTTGGAGAAGACAGGTGAAGTGAACGATCTAGGCCAAAGTAGCGGATTTAGAAAAATTCTCCAATTCAGCCCACTACCTCTACAAGAACCTTACTACCCCTTTACAAAAACCTCACTACTCCTCTACAAGAATTTCACTACCCCTCTACAAGAATCTCACTACCCTACTACAAGAACCCCACTACCCCTCTACAAGAACCTCACTACCCTACTACAAGAATCTTACAACCCCTCTACAAGAACCTCACTACCCCACTACAAGAACCATACTACCTCACTACGAGAACCATACTACTCCACTACGAGAACCTCACTACACCATTACGGGAACCTCAATACCCCACTAAAAGAACCTACTACCCCACTACAAGAACCTCACTACCCCACTACAAGAACCATACTACCCCACTACGAGAACCATACTACTCTACTACGAGAACCTCACTACACCATTACAGGAACCTCAATACCCCACTACAAGAACCTACAATCCCACTACAAGTACCTCTCTACCCCACTACATGAACCTCACTACCCCTCTACAAGAATCTCACTACCCCACTACAGGAACCTCAATATCCTAATACAAGAACCTCAAAGTAGTTGGCTGGCTTTGAATGCTCATATGAAGTTTTGTGTAATAGCTCTCACTATGTTATTTCATGTATAAACGAAGAGTGGGGGATTTCAAAGCTGACATTTCTTATTAAAGGACTGTGTTATAGTACCTATGCAGTGAAATTCTGCTTCACCTCAGGCTATAGTATTCATGACAAATCTTTCCACTTTGCATGACAGGTGTGCTTTAAGTTCTCCATTAGTCACTCTGTATGCTGTATATGAGAAATCTATTCTGTGAATCATTTATTTTTTACATGCTGCAACTGTGCTATGTTTTTGTATGACTGGCAATGCAACAAATAAACTTAACTTGCGCTTAATGATATTCAAAAATGTTTTCTTAAATACACGATGGGTCTTAATAATAGAAGTTCCAACAGATGATC